AAAAAACATCTGTAGTGTTTAACAAGTAGTTTCTATTTTTGGGTGCTTGGCAGAGTGAGATGGAAGAGCCTAAAATTTTGTAAGAAAATTTTATGGAGTAACTTGCTTGTAATTACAGGTTGACAAGGTAACAGGCAGAGTAAATGGCCAGTTCAAGACATATGCCATTTGTGGACCAATTCGTAGAATGGTAAGTACTTTCCTGACCTATAGAATGATTGTGCTTCCTTTGGTATTGATTAGTAATTTTTTTAGATTTATATTTGGCCCTGAAAACATAGTTTGCCTTTGGCTCGTTCTAGAGGAAGAGCTTTTGTGGGGATAATGAAAACTGATTGAAGACATGAACAAAGTCACTTGCAAGAATCAGTTTCTTCTGGTTTTGTTTTTCTCAATCCTTTGGTTTGTAGGATTATGTATGTTTTTGGGGTTTTTTTTTAAATCACTGAAGGATGCAAGTGATTTTTCTTTTTAAGATTATACCAAGCTCCTAATAACTGGCTTTTATCTGCTTATTAGAGGTGATACTGCCATGACTTAAATTTGTTAAACACAGTGTGAAACTTCCTAGAGTTCATCAGCAGCCTGCTCACCCAAAAACATGTCTTGTTAATGCAAGTGTATGTTTTATCAAGGTAAAATAGTTATCCTAGAGGGTGACAAAGAATTCAACAGCTTATTTTGAAGATGCTGATCTGAACAAGGCATTGTGCATTTCACTACCAGCACGAAATGCTGCAGCTGCCTCTCTGTAGTGTCTGTTGGCAATTAGTTGGTCATTTCCGAATCACCTTCTCTTTTTTAAAGGGTGAATCAGATGACTCCATTCTGCGTCTGGCAAAAAATGATGGAATTGTTTCCAAGTATGTATGTTTATCTCCTCCTCTAACTCTTGCAGGAGTAATGTCCATACCCAACTCCAGCTTTTAGGATGAAAATGTATGCGCTGTATTTATAGAATGAATACACAGTTGATCAAAAATATTTACTTGAGCTGTTGAAGCAAACTAGTTTATTATAATGTTGGTTTCATTTTCTTCTAGGAACTTCTAGCTGAAGAAACTCCGGTATGGAACGTCTGATGTAAAATAAACAGTTCAGGCCTATGTTGTGCTGTGTCTTTTGTTCAAGTCATAAAAGGCGGTGAATTTATTATATCTAGTCTTAAAAGACTTAGAAAAGCATGTCTTCAGAAGGTACAGAGATTCTGGTTAGGAATTTTTAAAACAAATCTGCTTGTGAAGCTGCGCCAGAGTTGAAATCAAGAATTTCCACTTCACTCTTTGGGTCACTATCATTTTTTTCCCCAGAGTTAGTAAGTGTTGCAATTGTAGCTCAGCTCCCTTGGGCTGTGGTGGAACATTTTGCAGCATAGCACGAATTCAGCTTGCTGCTTTTTCACTAAGGGCATTCTTTCGGTTGTGATAGCAAACTTCAGTGTTTTTTCTGCCGGTAGAGGCTCACAGTATTTGTTCTGCCATTGACACATTCTTCAAGTGAATTAGTAAAACTGGAATTCATGGGAAACTGTCTTATCAGAAGTACTTCTTGGCAGATTGATTGCCATGTGAGAGACAAAAATACCTTGAATTTGAAAAGCAGGGAGATATTTTAAGGAGAAAGAACTGATTAATTGGCAATATTTTAATAAATTACTTATCCCTTTAATGGCCAGATAGACTTTCTACCTGCTCTGTTATTTTTTCCAGGTATCTCACTAGCAGAACCAAGGCAGGATGCAAGCGGTTGGCATGATAGTGCATCTGCTGGCATTGCTCCTCTGTTGATTCCGTGTCTCGGGCTGATTTCTATAACGTTGCACTTCAGATCTAAAACACCCAATTTTTTATAATGCAGCTGGAAAGAGTTGCTTCAAGATTGTACCTGTTGTACACCAGGTGTTTTAATCGGGACTGGTTGGTTTTCTGATGATGTAAAGCTTCTGAAGCAGTTAACGTGATAGAAAGGTAGTATTTGTTGGCTCAGAACACAGGCTGTGCACTTGGCTTTGGTGTAGTGTTTGGAAAGGGCAGTGCTTAAGGTGCCATAGCTGC